GAAGGGACTGATTTAACTTGTAGAGGAGATTTATTTTGCATTTTGCTCAAAATTTGATAGGCTTTTGGCAAGTGTATGAAACAGTCATAGATTTGGCAGTCTTCTGCTAGCAGATTTGAAATGTTCAATCCTTAAGAACTGCTGCATCGTTAGGTTATGCAAAACAGGGTGCAATTTTGTAAATATGCCATCTTGTACTGATTTGACATTTGTTCTATTATCCCAGAATATGCCAAAGGGAGAGAGACCTTCAGATTTAAGCCAAACCTTAACTTGTTTGTTGAGTGCTGATAAAATGTTGACTGCTGTGTGATCTTTAAAGAAGCCAGTGTTGTTTGCTGAGGCCTGAGGTAGAGCCCCCTGTCGAGCTGATGGGAGCTCTTTCCTTGGCATCTCGTGCGGACAGTTGTTTGATAGATGTAAACAAGTAAAACATCTGATATAGTGGGTTGAATTGATTTTTTCTTAAATATTTCCCGTGGCCTCTGTTTTCGGAGGCATTAGTGGTGCTTCTCCAAATAGCATCATTTAATATTCTTTATAAGGCTTTGGTTTCAAGTGGGAGAATGCGCAGAGAAGTCAGTACACCCTAGGTAATATGTCTGAAGTACCAGACTATCCGTTAGACCAGTGGCTCTTTGCTCTTTCTACAAGGGCCTGGAAATGGTGATGAGTTGTCTGGCTCTGAAGGGACATAAGAATGTGATGTTAGAGGGAATGGGCTTTCAAGTTAGATAGTCCCGTACTCAAGTTCTAGTTCCAGCGCTTACTAGCAGTATGAGCTTGGGGAGGCTACTTAACCCCCCTGAATCTCAGTTTTTTCTCATCTGGATAGTGGGGGTAATCAGACCTAGCTCACACGGTTATTGAAGGGATTAAATGAGATACCTATGCCTGCCATGAAGTAAGCTTTCAAAACATGGCATCTGCCACCCTCAAGAAGCACATTGTCTTTATGGTTCCTAGATGGCACAAGGAGCAGCTTAAAAATCGTTAGAACTTCTGTTTCTCACAGTGCTTCCCCAAGTCTTATCAGCTCTCTTTTATTTCAAAAATACAAAGGTTTATTTGTTGGAAGGTAACTGAAGAACCAGCATGATCCAACAAGCAGCTACAGATGGTTCTTCTTGGGGCTTGAAGGAAAAGCTCCTTGCAGAGATGCTGTGGAATCAGCACTGCCACTGGACCAGTCCTTCCCACTTCGCTTTGCCAGACTGTTGCTGGCAGCGGGGCTCCCGGAAGTTTCTAGCCTCAGGAGGATGCCAACTGCACCACCATTGCATCCTTGCCCATTTATCACTCTGAGCTTCCTTTTTAGTAGGTGGTGATAGACTCTTCGGCTTCTAACTTAGTCATCCATTTCCTTTTTATTTGTTTCCATCAACAGCAAATAAGGATTATCTTATTTTGGTGGGTTAAAATAACACCATTAAATTGTTTCTGATTGTTAATCATACTTTCAATTAATGCATGCATTTCTTTCCCCGGCTTTGGGTGTTGACTTTCACAGGTTAAAGTACACCATACAGTGGACTTTCAAGAGTTTTTCTTGATCGAGAAAACAGGATGCTCAGTCTGGTAGGCAAGGTGACACCGCTGCTTTCTTTTTTTTTCTTTTGAAAAAAGAATGTTCGCAGCAGCCTTAAAGCGGGTGTGTGCCTCCGGCTGCCTGTCTCCCTCACACGGCAAGGTCCCTCACGAGGCTTCTCCCAGTGAGCAGGGGGAAGTGTGCTTTGGAAATGGCACACTTATCTTGCAGTTGCAGGAGAAGCTTTTGTTTTATTTTTCTCTTTCTGCATTAAAGTATTTGTCTTTCTTTCTTTGTAGTGTAATATTGTTAATGTAAAACAATTTGCATCATGACACTTTTATCACAGTTTTCGTCTTTTTCTCAGTATGTTGCATTTCTCACCATGTCTAGTTCATCACAGCTACAGTGTGTACATCACAACATTTATCTTAGGCTCAGGGTTTTACTTGTTTATAAAAATTGTCTTCTTTCAGCCTGTATTCACTCCATTTAAGAAAAAAAAAAAAAAAAGGCAGCCAGAAACTGTTTTGGTCCAAACTCCAGTAGTTATCACATTCCTTGCTAACTGTCCTGCGTATTTATTTATATGTCTCCTAACTATTACTCTATGTTTCAGTGACATTTCTCAGTTTTATGGTTCAGAGAGGTTGTAGGAGCAGCTTTGGCTGTTCAAGCTGCCAAGAAGGAAGGACTGAAATTTTTGGAGGTGAGGTGAGGTGACGCAGCTGTATATTTGGGTCAGGTCTAGGTGTTAAAGTAGACTATCTTCTGCGAGCAAAGAGCTCGATTTAATGTGGGGAGAAGCAAAGCAGAGGACACAGCAATGCAGTCAGCACAGGCTGAGAGCAGGACTAGCAGGAAGCATCCTCCACGAGGAGTCTAATAGGGCACAAGGGCCTGGGGCTCAGATTATTAAAGTTCACTATCGGGGTTCAAGCGCCAGCCTCTCATGTCTCTAGCTTAAAATCCTACACTGTCCTTTAAGGAGATTGATTTTGATCCTTTTTTCGTCTCTGAAGGGTAAAAAAATTGCTCCGGCTTCTATTGCTGCTTTAGGCTCTGCCTCATTGGCACAGTCAGAAAAATATGCCTCACAAATCTCACAGGGCTGTGCAGACCCAGCTCTCTTCCAATTAATTCAGTCTGAGAAAGCCTGGGGACACAGGAGCCAAAAGGTACCCAATGTATCTGTGTATTGCAAATTCGAGGACAGTTAATTAACAATTTATTTCTCACTGCTCCATTGCTGTGATATCACATCATGAGAGGCATAGGAGGTAGAAAGGGTTCTGCTGTCAGACGGTGTCCAGCTCTGTCATCTCCCATAGATGTAACCTGCTGCAAGTTACTCACTTCTAAATCTCATTGTCTCCACGTAGAAAGCAGGATTGCCAGATATCTCATGGAAATGTTTTGAAGATTAAATAGAGCAGTACTATTATAAACCCTTTACGATGCTCACCACAGTGACTGACAGAGTAAACACTCAATGTGAGCTACTGTTGATAATGGCACAGTGTATGCGTTGAAAGTGGGTAAAACATATCTCAGTAAGTTTCAGAATGAGAATATTTAATTCCACCTACCCCAACTGTTCCCACTTGCCTCTGCAGAACTAAGACCAAATATAGTGACTAGTACAAGTGCTTAAATTTCTTTCATTTACTCATTTGATTAATATTTAGAACTGTATTAGGTACTAAGAATAGAGAGATGAACAACATGGACAAATCCTTTTTCTTATGAATCTTATTGTTTAATGAGGTATATCACAAATAAATATTGATTGACTAGGTGAAAATAAATGAGTGGATAGAAGAATGAATGGGGTAGCATTGAGATGGATGGATGGATGAATGGATGGATGGATGGATGGATGGATGGATGGATGGATGGATGGATGGATGGATAGATGGATGGGTGGATTCATACCCGAATGGATTTATCTGGGACATCTCACCAGATAAAAGAGTTTCTTTAAAACGAAGTAAAATAAAAGTATGAATGAGTCTTAGGTGTTTCTTTCTAAAGTTCATGAGTAAATTCTCGATGTGGATCAGAAATGCAATATGGCCAGGACAAGTGGGAACAGCCTGCACAAGAGTTGGAGGGCATCTGCTTTAAGCTTTCCAGGACAGTGTGCCCTTGGGAGCCTCGGTCAACATAAACATGTTGGGTGACTCTGTCCTAAAATTTGTCTCTTGATTCCTATTTGTGTGAGGGAGTAAGAGAAGTTATTCTTATTCCAATTTTACCGAAAACCAGGCTCAGAGCCCAGCCTGTCTCCAGGTACACAGTTCACTGATATTGAAGCTGGACTAGAATACCACTCTGACCTTAGCCCCATCCAGTTTCCTCCCGGACCACTAGGGCTTCCATAAAAAATACTAAGCTGGTGTTAGCTACAAAGATACCTATAAAATGCAAACCTTTGCTCTCACAAAGTTGACTTTGATTTGCCAGGATTCTACGGGACTAGCTGGCTCATTTTAAACCTGTAGGGAGGCTACTGGCCCTTCCCTTGCCCCATCTGTAACAAGACAATAGAAGCAAACTCTAGCTCATCCCTTCCCAAAGGCACTTAAATGTCTGTGTGGCATTTTTACCTTCATCCCGACTTTGTAAAAAAGATTTCCAAATGAAGATCAGATGACCAGTTCCATGCTTTCTAAGGCTTTTTCATCCAAGACCTCACCCTCATTCTGGAAGTCCTACCTGACCGAGGCCACAAAGCAGTTCAAAAAGCTGACCTCCCAATTTTTGGTCCTATTTCCTTGGCTGATTTGGGAGCAATTTGATTCAATAGCAGCATTTCCTCCAATACAGTATGAGGCAGACAACGACGTACTGATTTCCTAAGGCCATTCTTGATCTTTTTCACCCCTTTCTCCTCCCATATGTTACATTTGCCTAGGTTTTAAACATCTGTTTCACAAGAGGTATACTTGCTTCTCATTCAGAGCCTAGCAATGTGGACCAAAGTTCATATGACATATTGCAGAGTATGTTTAGTTGCAAATACTATGTACAGGCTCTTTGAAATGAAGCATGTATGGCACCATGTGACACATGGTTGCCATGGCAATACACTTTTTGGCTGAACTACAGCATAAGCCCATGGAACATACATTGCTAATATGAGACTCTGCCCTGTGTTAATGCATAGGACACAGCCAGTCTGGGATCTGGGACTCGAGGGGTTTTGCATGTAGCCTAGGTGGCTGGTACCCTTTTCCTGCATGTGCAGGGAAGATGTGGCATCCCTCCTTTCCAGTCCTGTCTCCCAGGGACAGGGCATGCTATGCATTCTGCCATGCATAGAGACAGCATTTGCTTGAATATCGGTTTGCTATATTTTGTATCAAAGGGGGCCCCAGCTGAAAACATTTTATTTTGTAAACTGAAGTGAAAAATCAGTTTATGGCAGATCTTTTTTTGAATAATGACATTCTTTTTTTCCCTATTCCAGAATTCAACAGTCATGAGCAGAGCTGAAAATTTTAAACAAGTTGAGTACCTCCTTATTCATGGAACAGCAGATGGTGAGTTTCAGTTAATTAGACTTTTTAGTATCACAGACAGGTTTGCAATTTCACTACTGACAAAACAAAAGCATGAGGGGCAAGACTGTTACATTTACTTCAATAAAACAGTGTTGCTTTCCACAACTCACTTGTCTTGGGCTAAATGGGATGCTGAGTCCTGGAACTTCAAACAGTCCCTTTCTTCTTGAGCCTTTCCCACCCTTCCGTATCAGAAAACTGAAGCTGCTATTAGTGACTTTATGCTTCCTTTCTCTCCCTGCAGATAACGTTCATTTTCAGCAATCAGCTCAGATCTCCAAAGCTTTGGTGGATGCTGGAGTGGATTTCCAGGCAATGGTATAGCAAAACTTTGTGCAGTGGGAGGGAACTTGCTGGTGGGTCTGGTTTCTCCTCTCTGGGATACTGCGCCTCACAGAGGTCCCAGGAGACAGGGACAGAATTAAAAGAGTTATGTTTCCAATGAGGAGTTAGAGAAGAGATATTTTTGAGCCATAGACACAGTAATGTTGAATGATATTAGAGAGCTGGAGTTGAGAAGCACAATATTGCATAACCTGGGAGTGTCAAAACTCTGCTCTCCTGTTCATGTGATTGTTCAGTCTCTCCCTATTTTGATTCAAAAGTAATCATTTACTCAGTAGATGTGTGGCAGAGTAATTCTAAAGTGAAACCAGCACGATAATAGCTCAATTCAAATATGAAAATCCATTTCTGTCTAGTATGTATTACTAAACATTCTAACAACAGTGGGATATTAATAAGCAGCATGCTTCAGGTTTCGCAATTGCCATGTTATCTTTTGTTGAACAACCATAGGCAATAAACAATTAGGCTTATTTTATGATGTTGGAAATGGCTAGAGCTGTTGTTGCCTATACAAAAGGTTTCTAGATATTAAGTCAAATTCATTTTCTGCACTAGACCTTTTCTGATTAAGAAGAAAAAATTATATTTACACACACATATGTATGTATATGTATGTGTTGCACTAAATGTTTTTGTGTAAAATGCTTTCTTGTCTGTATTAGCTAGAAAAGCCTGCTTTTCCTGTCTTCTAACATACATACTTTTCTCTGTGCTCAGTTCAAACGGTGCCCACTGTATAGGAGTGGGACAGTCATTTGCTACCCGCTCCGCTCGACCCCCTCCCCGCACACAAAAAAATCTGATAAATGGCCTTTGTGTCAGAGTCTTATAAGAGGTTGAGGTTTATTTTTTTACAAAGAAAAAACATGATACTTTAAGCAATTTTTAAAAGTTAATTCGTTACCATAATATATGTTTGCTTAATGAGGTATGAGTTGATAAATTTTTGCCTCAGGTCATCATCTCTTTCTACAAAAATGTCAGACATACAGATAAAAAACTGCAGTGAAAAATCTAAGTGTTTGCAAATAACACATTTGACTTTTGACTTTACTATGTTAAATACATATATGGAATACTGAAATAGATTTTTCCAGTTCCTTAGTTATATATATTCTTTAAAATTGCCTTTTAAAACCCCAATTATTTTAATGTTTTCATATTTAATATAAATATTATTAAATATTCAATATTTAATAATAATAGTTTATCTAACCACAATGTAGGAGAAATTTGACACTTGATAACACTTAATTAAAACTAGCAAGCTTAATGGAATAAACATTCCCTCCTATGCATCCTAAGTGTCCTTTGAGTGAAATTTTCAAGTGGATTTGGATATTTTTATTAAAATATACATATCTCTAAAGCACTATGCAGTAAAGCCAAATTTACAGTGAGTTCTCCCTGTACTGTCTGTAAGACAGAACGACATGCCCTGGAAAAGCTCTGGGGGAAATACATACCCTCTGTGATCATGTTTGGGTTTATACACTCATTAGGAATTAAAACATTGTTTTAGTCTGTGTGTACTCATGAGAACTCATGTGAATTGACTGGGAAAAGAAAGATAACTGACTTCCTAATTCTGACCTTTTTCTCTCTCCAGTGGTACACAGATGAAGATCATGGAATCGCTACCAGCACAGCACACCAACATATATATACTCACATGACCCACTTCATAAAACAGTGCTTCTCTTTACCTTAGCACCTCGAAAGAGCATGCCATTTAAGGCTTATTAAAAATCGTTTTGTTATTATCTTAAAACTGCACTGTCAAGATGATCTTAAAAAAAATATTCAAATCAAGAAATGTAAGGTTACCTTTGTTCCCAAATTTCATATCTAGAACCCTGAGTGGAGACTTCTGTCTTTGCAACAGATTATTACCTTACAGAAGTTTGCATTCTTCAGTCTGGTTTTGTTTATTATTTAAAATCATTTCCACATCGGTTGCTAAAATGATAAATATGAATTGTTTTTAGGGGAGCTTTGCATAAATTTCCTGGGAAGAATTTTATTTTTTTCTGACTGGACTCGTCTGAATCTTGTTCTCTTCTTTAAAGAAATGGCAAGATGTGTGCAGTGATGTCACAGAAGCAGGGGTAGGAAAAGAGGGGGCAGGAAGAGAAGCTAGCTGAGGATGGCTGGGAACCCAAGCCCAAGCACGCTGACCCGACCAGGCTTTTGTCAGCTCCTCTCAGAGAAGAGCTGTTCATAGCCAGACTAGCACAGTTTTCTGAGAAAGACTACTCAGACTGTCTCAGGAAATCACATATGCAAAGTACTGACTTCTGAGTAAAACCACAGCAGTTGAATAGACTCCAAAGAAATGAGAGGGAAACTGCCAACAATGCAAGGCCCCAGGTGCCAGTTATGGCTATAGGTGCTACAAAAACACAGCAAGGGTGATGGGAAAGCATTGTAAATGTGCTTTAAAAAATACCAATGTTTCCCCCTGAAAGAGGCAGCTTGGAACTGAGATGTGAACACATCAGCTTGCCCTGTTAAAAAATGAAAATATTTGTATCGTAAATCCTAACTTGAAGAAGTCCTTGCATCAGTTTTTCTTTTTTCTATAATTAAAAGAATATTTTTACTTCCTTGGACTTGTTTTTTAAAATTGACAAAAACCCTACAAAGTCCTAAGTATTATTATTCCCATTCTACATACTGTAGAATTTCTCCTGGTCATTTAATAAACATGTCTTCATTTTTTCAGAGGTAATGAGTTTTGTATCTTGAATCGGATCTAAACCACATTGGCATATGGACACATTTATCCAGAAAGGCTCTTGTTTATTTTGCTTGTTATCCCAGACTGTCTTGTAAACATGGAGAGAGTTCAGTTTTTATAAAAAATAGATACATAGAAATGTGTTAAATTAAGCAGTTCATTGGGTTTTCATCCAATACATATATGATTTCTGTTATCATACATATTATATATATATATATATAGCTTTTGAAAAATCAACTTAAAATAATTTGGGTTATTTATATAGCATATAATTTATAATTTTATGCCAGGGAACTATGATAAGGCACAAATTATAAGAAGAAGTAATATCAACAATATCATCTTGGAGTTCTGATGGCTCAGAAATAATAAAAAGAATCAGTCAATCACTTAAGCGTTTGACTATTTTTGGTTGATATAACTATATTAATGAAAGCACAGACTTCTCATGCTGACTTTAGCTTAGCAAATAATGTCTAGCTAACTGAGGAAACGTGATCTTTCTTTGCTCATTTGCAAAATGGTCTCATTTTTAAAAACTTGATTTTATAAACTTAAATTTAGCTTCAGACCATTTACTGGAAAAAGTTGTCCTGGACAGAGTGAGCTACAGCATGAATATCTTAAAATGGAAGAAATAGGAAAAAATCTTTCAATTTGAGACTGGTGAGTGATATATAAGAATGGATGGAGGATTGTGAAATTCAGCTTCAACTGTGTTTTCAGAGCATTTTAAGTCTCAAATCCCATTCATCCATTGGAACCATAAACTGACCTTCGACTCTATAGGGCTCTTGTCATACTTTTATTTCTTAATAGACTTTAATCATTATAAATAGCTAGACCAATCTTTTCAGAATTCTATATCCAGAAATAGTAGTTATAGAGCATATGTTCACATACTGGACTAAATTAATAGTCATAAAAACAAATTAAAGAGAAATTCTCCTTACATCTAATCAAAACCATATATTGTACAATTTCAGATATTGTACAGATACTAAGGTCATTGACAGTATCAGATGTTAACAATATCAGATATTGTACAATATCAGATATTAATTAATAAGACCTTTGTACAATAGTAGATATTGTACTATATCAGGTAATATATAGATATTAAGACCATTGTATAATATATTATATAATGTTATACAATGTCTGACTTGATATTATACAACTATCGTACAATATCAAAACTATATGAATTCATTGTTCCTTTAGTGTCTAAATATGTTAGATGTTTTCTCTGGAACCCTAGTACAAATATTTTGCATAATAAGGGTTGCAGATGGCAATGATGTGACTGAAGTTAAAGTAGATTTCATTTGACCTTCATAGGAGAAGTTTTACTCTCCAATAAGAGTTTTAAATTAGCTTATTGGAAAAGGAAGTTAAAGAAATTGACAAATAAATTAGAGATAAACTTAATCCGAGGGCAAGCTTGAAACACAGGAACTAATGATAACACTAAACTGTGCAGATTTGCCTGTCATGGACAGCTGCAGCCTCAGCAGGCACATGGATGCTAAGATTCCTTTCGTGAACAACTTGTTGGAGTGTACCAGTATGCGTGAACACATACACCAAAGGAAGGGAGATCTGTTCATATCTCTCCTATGAATACAGAATTCGTTTCAGTTTCGACCAAGAGCTTTAGAAAAATCACTTTGAAAATTATTTTTGAACATTCTTTTTGGTTGGAAACCTTGCAAAAAAAATGATTATATACCTCCACACTTCCTTAAATAGCAGGCATAGCACATAACTCAATGCAACATTGATGACTCAAGGCCACCACCATAAAGATCAATTATCTTCGCATCAGGATGTATGTCATTCTAAGTGTTTCCTTTCTTATTCACAGGTGGTCACTGAGGCTACCAGTTCTACTGTTTGACATCTGCTGCTTTTGCTCTAAGATGATGTGAGAATTTCAATTAACAAAACTACTAGATTTGTACAATATTTAAGATTTAACAAGCTCCATATGAAAAACATGCCAAAACACAAGAATGTTTTTTTCATAAAGTAAGAGAATTTTACCATGCTGATTTTGTGAGTTCTTTTAGCAGCATCCGAGACCTTTATACATACATCCTCAATGACCTGGAGTGTGTATTCAGAATTTCTGAAGGATACAGATGGTTGAGAATAAGAGATGAACATGGGTAATAAAGCATAACCTCAATACTCATAAGAAAAGATCAGAGATTGGTATTAATAAGCTCAATGTCATGCTCAGTAGAAATTTATCATCTTTCTGCACATCACTTTTCTGTGATAATATTAAAATTCAAACTCAAGAATTTGAATTAATAAAAAGAAAGAAGTTCTTTACTGTTAAACTGAGAAGGATATCTTTTCTGGTGTTACAGATTTTAAACTTCAATAAATTCAATCAAATTTCTGATTCTACATAATCTTTCATCTGAACATTCACCCCACCTCTGTCAGATATTTAAAACATATGTATTGTGAGAAATGTGACCCATCAAAACACCAAAACCTGAACTATTTCATTAAGTTTCTCCGATCCAAAGTCATGATATTTGTGACTCGCAAGCAAAACGAAAAGCATTTCATTGGGTAGGTTTGGTTTCCAATGTTAATCACAGAAATACGAATGACAAAGAAAAAATAACATACTGAGAGGAAACATTACACATCTTAACCTGATTCTGGTTGCCTAAGCTAGAATGAGTGCAGTGTTAAATGAGGAAGGCAGCCATACCTCGCCTCCTACTGGAGATGCAGAGTACTGCAGATGGGGTTCCATGGACATGGGTTGGAATCTCAGAGCCACCACTCATAGTAAACATTTTAAAGACCAATACTTAGCCTCTTTGAACCTCAGTTTCTTAATTTAAAAGAAGTACAAAAATACCTACTTCACAGAGTTTGTGAAGATTTATATATTGCTGTGAAGATTTATAAATATAAACTATGTCTGGCATTGCATCTTTGCCTGGCACCTTCCTTTCTCCTTTTCCCTCCTTCTATTCACAACTATTTAGCTGCTTCTCCTAGTTTAATGACTTCAGAGAATGCATAGGTTCTAACCATGAGACTCTGTGTCTGCAGGTGTTGGGCACACCTTCAAGAATAAGTATTTTTGTTCTCATACTGACATGTCAGTGAGAATCCTTTTTGGGTCTTTAGTCATTCTTAATAAACTGAGCAGCAGCATCTGCTGATATATTTTGCTTATAATTCTGTTCACAGCTTTTGCTGGGTGGATAAAAGAGCAGAACACAGAACTAGGCCCTGAGAGTTACAGAGGAGGGATAAAACACTATTCCTACCTTCAAGGAGCTTATAAACAAATGAAAGACCTAAGCCATATGGCAAAAATCTATGACTACACCTACACCAGATAGCAAGAGTACCTAGATACAAAACTAAATCTATGGTAAAAAAAAAAAAAAATGGATATAATGAATAGCATGAAAGGATAGGCAAGGAGAGGTATTTTCTAGACGCAGATGATCCAGCCATTGGCTGAATTTCGTACTACACTTAGATTTCTTTAATAGTCTCAGGATCATTGTTGATACCATGTTTTTCAAATACAACTCAAAATACATATAAAGGAATGGTCTACATAAAAAGATTTACAATAAAGTTATTGTGTCTGGAGTGACTTATTAAGTATTCAAGGAGTACACTTGAGCCTGTTTGGTTTCAAACATAATAGAAGTTTATAGACCACTCACAGAGTTTGGTTTGAGCCTCCGAGAGTCATCCTGGGAGCCAGATCCCTAAGGAAGTGATTCCTCTTTTCCCCACAATATTCTCTACTATCCTGCCAGCCGAATCTTTCCAAAAGTTCATGCCTCTCCATGACTCAAAACTCTTAATGGGTAAAGTTTGAATATCCTAATATAGTATTTAACATCATTTATAATGTTTTCAACTTGTATTTCTACCTTTTCTTACAGATCTCCACTACGCTCTTGACACTTCGTCATATTGGGCTGTTTGCTGGCTTCTAAATATGCCACATATCAAATATGTAGGCTCCAGTTATACTACATATTTTATTTTTTTAATTTCATTTTTATTTCAATAGTGATATGTGTTTGAGAATCTTTGCAGTTCTTTGAGTAGGTTTCCTTCCCCATTTCCATCCTAATTCATATGCTACTTCTTATATAACATTTTTCTTAAACTCTGCCCTACTCAAAGTTCCATCCTTGAATTACTCACTGCTTTAATCATACCACCAACTTGGTACATATCACATTATGTTATAGCTATGTGTCTAACCTGCCCTTAGAAGCAAGGATCGCACAGTCTCATTTCAAAGTTCCAGTACCAAGGATAGCGGCCAATGTACTAATAGAAACTGAATGAGAGAGACGGTTGTATCAGTGAGCTAGAGCTTTCTAAGGAAAATATCCAAAGATATTTAAATAGAAAGAGAAGTAGGTCAGTATAGATAAGTAAAAAATAAGCCATACTTTTAAGAGCCAAGAATAATTCTAAAAATCTAGGGATCATGTTGAAATACAAGTTGGTTGTCATTTGTCAGTGGAGAGTTTCTTTCAGGCTATGGATTTAAACTATGCCAAGGAGACATTCAGATTATATTTAGGAAAAAATTTCCCAATATCAAAGGCTGTTAGATGGTAGCAATTACAAAGTAAACTCACAAATCAAGAGAAAAATATTAATCCGTATGTCAGAGTTCTGAATGCAATTATCTTCCCAACAGACAGCCAGATGGCTACAAAAGAATAATGGTCCCACCTGACCTATTGCAACAGAGTGGAGACAAGTTTTAGGAACATGAAGGGTAAACAGAAAGCTAAGGAGTTCCAAACATGGGAAATCCTGCTAATGTCTTGGAAGATTTTACTGGTCATGAGAGCAAGGCTATTTGCACCCACATCGCTGCTCTCTGGGGAAATGAAGAGATACACTCTAATATAGCTCTCAAAATATTCTGTTCATAAAGTTCAAATTGTATCAGTACTCGAAATATCTTTACATCAGGGGTGTCTAAATTTAAATATTAGGTTCAAACAGTCAAAATGTTCCACATTGATTTACTGATTAACAGTAAGAGAGAAAAAATAAGACATTTGCATCACAATTTAAAATGTGCAAGAAAATTATTTAAGATAAATATTTATTTCCACATAACATTTCTTAGTTGTGAAAAACACAATATCCTAGTCACATTTACACATTACTTAAACTTTTCAATAAATTACATTCAAGATATTCACTAATTTTGACCAGGAATCTGAAATTAGGAGGAAATATATAACACTACATTTTTCTTATATTTTATATGATTTCAAAATATTAGAATTAACATAGGGATATCAGTAAAATTCACACAAGAACAAAATGACTATAAAAATACTCAGAAATACAGAATTTCAT